AAAAAAACCTGTTTGCAGCAAGTTAGACGCTGCGATAGGCGGGGATAGGTGGCGACGAGACGACGGCGGCGTCGATTTGGCCGGATGGAAGACTACACCTTCAATTTTTTGTGGAAGAAGGGAGAGACACAGTAGCGATGAAGAGAGCCGAAGAGAGGGAGTTTGCGTGCGTCGTTTTTTTCTTTAGGGCATATCAGTCAATTTTTTGAGTCAACTACTAATAATCAATGGACCGGGTAAGCTATTGGTTCAGTCAAAGCTGACCGAGTCAGCCACTTTTTGAGCTTACCAAACGGGATGACTGGACCGAATCAGTCCAAAATTACTGACCGACCCAGTAAGCCTAAAATCAAACAGCCCCTACATGTTCGTTTTACCGAAGGCACTACATATGACGCGTATTGTCCAAATATAATATCAAGAGGATGTTGGAGATTGCTTTTTAACCTAAAAAAGTCATTTTTACAAAAGTCATTACTGAACTTATGGTTTTTTCCAAAAGAAGTTTTTAAATGTGTTTGGCTTAACTTTTAAAGGGACAAAAGCCAAAAAGTCAAAAGTCATTAAAAGTTAGCAATTTGTAGACTTCTAAAAAAACTCATTTTTCTTCTTGCCAAAAAATTGATCTAAAAATTACTTTTGGAATTGCCAAACACCTTTCTAAACTATTGGGTTTTTGAAAAAAAAAAAAACAAAAGTCCAATAAATCAGTTTGAAAGTTAATCTCAAACACCTCCAAGTAACAAAATTACAAATTCATCGTTTAAATGTATTTTGTCAGAAACAGGAACGGTAGAATTAGTCATTTGGCTAATTTAAGCATACAATGTATGTTACTATTTTACTTATTTGCACAACATTGCTATTTATATTTGAAATTGTTATTCTAAAATGACTAATATTACTGTTTTCCAATCAAATCTCGCAATTTTAAACCTTTATATAGTATTTTTCTTAAATTTTTTTTTTTTTGGTTTTCTTTTGTTAAACTTGAAAAGTATTTTCTCAATGATCAAAAAATTATTCATCAGAATTCGAAATTGTTGTAGAAATTAACTAGTTTATTTTCTTGTCCAGAATGTACAACCCAATTTTTTTTTTTTTTAAAGTTGAATGCTAATTATCCAAATCTCAACATCGGTCGACTGTACCGATTGCAGGGATGAAGATACGACAAAACCGATACCAACCCGAAAATCCCAAGTACCAAAATTAGTGAAAAAACAATACCGAGAACGGAACCGAACTAACGTTACTAATACAGGTATCTAACGGTACCGAATCCCAAATTTCATGATTTTAGAATACCGAATACCGCCCCATATTAATATAAACGGTACCGGTACCAGATCAGGTCAGAAATTTTGGTAGTCTTGTTCACCCCTAATCAATTGCACCTTAAGTAACCCAAATCATAAAATAAAACAAAAGGGCTAACGCCACAAAATAGTAAACTTAATTTAGTTTATCTTATGGGATTTTTTCATAAAAAAACTCGAGTCCTTGTACTTTGAAAAATCTATGTAAATTAATCAATCAATTTTTTACCGGTCTAATGTGCTGACGTGGCACTGCAACATTACAGTCAAACCTATAAAAAAATTGACCGATTGACCTTAATGGGACGAAAAAAATTCAACCCCCATAAGATAAACAAAAAAAAAGTAGGTTGCTATTTAATGAGGTTAAGCAAATAACATAAACAAAAAAAAAAAAAAACAAAGCATACCATTTGTTATAAAATTCAATCATGCTTTGATGGTCTAACACTAGGTAAAATATTATATATGTATATACAAATCCTGCCTAAATCTTTTTACCATTAATAAAGTTTGATTATTTCACCTCAATGCATCCTCCAAAATAGTTTTAAATGCAAGATTCAAAGCAAAATAAGAAAGTTTTTTTTCAAGGCTTGATAGCACGCCCTTTGTATTGACCCCTTTGAATCACAAAATCATCCGGAGGTTGAAATTCTTCCAACCATGAAACTTCCGATAATGTTTCTCCATCTACCTCGATTGTACCTTCATACCAGAATATAATACAAAAGGGTTAAATGCACGAAATAGCAATGTACTTTAAATGATTTGTTTATCGTAATAACATACTACTTTCATTTATTTAACCTTTATATTACAAAACAAGTAACAAATAGGAATATGAATGCATTTATTTGTTATTAATAGCTTCCTATTTGTATTTCTTTCTATTGCAACATTGTACTTTAAAACATATACCAAACTACAGCAATGTCATCCAAACACAAGCAATTTTTACTGCTATTATAAGAAAAAGTATTAAAAGCACATTGCTAATGTTGGGTAGATTTTTATTAAACTAGAATGCCTTAATAAGAAAAAAACTGAAACTACCATGTGATGTAATAGAAAGAAATGAAACTAGGATTCTACGATACACAATTTTATGAAAGTATATTTGCAATTTCATGCATTTTGCTTGAATATTAAAAAAATTGTGTCAAATAATGAATACAGATAAATTATGGGTACAGTGCTGACTAGATTAATGATGTCTGTCTAGATTAAGTACTGTATAAACTAAGAATTTCTTTTTTTGAACTGAATGAACAGGCTAAATATGGGGAAAAAAACTATTCAAGCTTTTGTCTAGAACTCGTGTTGGATAACAATTAATAAGAATCGCTGTAAATGACAACAATAGAAAAAAATTAAAAACTAGGATTAAAAAGATCTAAATACACAATCAATAATATGTAACAATAGCTGATTGGAAAGAACACAGGAGAGAGAGAGAGAGAGAGAGAGAGAGAGAAGTGATTAATTCTTGGAAAATAAAATAAGTGGGTTTGAATAGGTTTTAACTTTTAATAAGGAATTAAAAAAAAAAAAAAAAAAAAAAAAAAAAAAAAAGGAGAGTTTGGTTAAAAGATGATTGTTTTTAATGGAAAGAGGGAATAAGAAAGAAAATGGATGCAAATACATGGCTATAATCTTACAGGGAATTATATAAAACAACCATCTTTCCCGAGTTTTGTAAAAGGTTATATACACAAAGCAGAATGTACTTTCAGCATATTATTTAACCATTGAACCATTATTTTTATAATTCTTATAATAAAGGCTCAACAACTAAATCAAGAAAAAAAAAATTGACTTGGGTATTGAGTATTTATTTGTAAAAACTGAAATATTTTGCACTTGATAGTTTCAACTCCGGAAAGAAAATCCAGTAAATTTTTACTTTATTTCAACTGGTAGAAAGATAAAATGGAGAAAGAACGTTCTGTTTTTCCGTATTTTGCATATCAAAACCGAGTAACCCTAAAAGTGGTTTTCTTAAAAAGGTATATATATATATATATATATATATATATATATATATATATATATATATATATATATAATGATTCAATCACTACAGAAAATAGTTAAGCGCCAAAATTGATAAAATGGTGAAAGTACATCGTGCGATTCTGTATTTGCATACCAAAAACATGGAAGCTGAAAAAGTTTTTTTTTTTTTTTAAGTAGAAAAAAGTAAAATGGTTTAATCCACAGAAAATAATTAATTGAACAAATCGAGGTTAGAGAATGACACATATAGACCAATTTGGTAATTCATTAATGGAAATAGAAATCTTGATAATTGTAAAATTTTCCTAGTATTACATCATTATCTAAGTCAAGCTTAACACAAAAGACTACATTTTATTACCATACGAAATAAAAATCTAAGTTTCTTTTCGAATTGAATTGTCAATGATTCAAATAAGCTTAAATAGAACAACAAGAAAAAGAATTACGATTGTTAACTATTTGAATTTTAAACAAAAAATATAAAGGTGGTGAGATAAAAGATGACTTACAAGGTAGGTTTCCTCCAAGTGACCTCCTAAAATAAGTGCAGTGTCTCCCATCTTCAGAAGAGTAAGGTGGTGACAAAATATCAAAAATAGCACAAGGAGTTATTGCTCTGAAACAATGGATGTTTCCTCCTTTAGTTGGATACAAAGTTGTTGTTCTAGAAGGTCCACTCATCACTCCATCTTTCACAAGCTTTGCAGGTCTTGCTATTGCATCTACCAAAAAAACATAAAATACGATACCAAAACCATATTCTAATCAAATAAAATATAAAAAGAACGCATCTTAGTAAACTAAATAAAGCAAAAAAAGTAGAAACCATTTGATTATCGAAACCTAGTCAATGATGAGTTTCACTAGTTCATGTGCTATTTCTTTATTTCTCATGTATACAAAAGGAAAACGTTTAATGCTAAATCACAATCACGTAACTTAATAGTGAATAGCATCTTATTTGACCTAATATTGTTGATCCTTATATAGTCAGATTGTTTTAGCATGTATAACATGCACAGCTAGATTCACTCTTTAATAAATATCTTTCTTTTTCATCATATAAATAGAAGAAATGAAATCTGGTTTCTAACACGTTGTGCATACTGTTTTTGTATGAATCGGATATTTACATGTTAATAATAGGGTTGAATGCAAGAAACAAGGTACGTTTTGTTTATTTGTTTATTACAGCATCCTAATATCACATCATTGTACTTTTAAATATCTACCCAATCCAAATTGGATATATTTTCCAAAGTATTGTGTCCTAATAACAGAAAGATTGAAAAATACAACGCTATAATTGGATAGATTTGTCAAAGTACAACGTGGTAGTAAGAGAAAGATTAAAAATACAATATGTAATAAAAAGAAATGAAAGTGTTATTTAGCCCTAAATAATATTTGTAGTACTTGTTGTGTAGACATACCTTCAGATATATCAGAAGGCAAGGGTACATCAAGCCAATCATAGGATTTAACTTGCATTGATCCATAAAGAAGCTTGCTTAACACAGTCATTCCAGGATGATTGTGAAGGGGAATGATAGAGGAAGATGGCATGCAGAATATCCCCATCTACAAAATTACATAATTCATAACTCCATTTTTCTCATAATGGAATCCATTTAATATGTTATTATAACTTTTAACTTACAGAAAAGCTTTCAGATTCATGAATATGAATATATTTAATTGGTGGCAAAGATCGGAGGCCACCATTGCGCTCATTAACAGGCCCAGTCCAACTACGCACTAATTGGGCTTCCTGTTCAAGCCCAACATCAGAAGGCTTGATTTTATCTACAACAAAAGAAATCAAAATGAATCAAGAGATTGAAAGTAGAAATATAATTCAAGAAGAAAATAATGGAACTTACCTAAGAGAGCACGGACTTTTTCAAGAGCATCTTCTGACACGGGCCCATTGGGAGATAGAGATACTTTGCAAACGTTATAAAGCTTCTGTATTGCTGGCATGATTTAACAACACTGCCACCAAATAACTCTGTTTGACTTTTGAGTTTTGACTAGAATTTCAATTCAAAATCCCCCTTTGAAGGAATCTAGACTACTGCAACAGTTTGAATGTTTTGACAGAAGGGTCCTCTAGTAGCACAGAAGACCCTTCAGAGCTTATGAAAAGCTAGTGTAGTGAATTGGAGTCAGAGTTTGTTAATAACTGAATTTTATAATGTCAATGAACTTGGACCCGAGTGTATGCACATCTCCATCACATGATAAGGCGCCACATGTTTGTGCCACTGTATATGGAAAACAGAATTCGAATTGATAAGTCACAATGAAAAGAAAATCCATGGAGGTTGATGATGAGATCTTCAACCCTCATGCAACTCAATAATCAACATCCACGAAAAGAAAAAGAAGTAGATTATACGGATATAAACATAGAGGTTCTTCAATTTTCCAATGAAAGCGAAATAAGTGAAGAAAATTATAGAGTTCTGTTTCAAATTTGGTACTTTACCACGAACCAGAAACCCTTACACAAACAGAATCTTACTTCGTCGATTTGGAAATATACGATTTATCAATTTTGTGCACTTTAAATCAGACATCATCAATTTTGCATTCTGACTCGAACGTCATCCACTCAGCGACCTAAATTACAAATTTAAGATAACCAATTTTGGAAATTCCAATTTGGGCGTACAATGAGAAACATTTATCCAGAGGCGAACAAGTATCTAATCAATTTCAAATAACAGAATTCATCTGAAGAGAAACCCTTTGAACTTAATTGTCGATTAACGCTGAAATTACGATCTTACGCACACAGTTTTGTTGATTGACGATTAAAGAAATTAGCAATTGATTGATGATAACAGCAGAGATGGCGACAAGAAACGCAGTGTGTGCGGATGGAAAAGAGAGGAGAGTACCTTGGCAAAGCATAGTGAGGAAACAATACGGCTATGGCGATGGCGATGGCGATGGTGATGGCGACGGTGGTGAATTCGGGGATTATGTGAAAAGATGGAAAGGGGAAACCTGAAGATCTGTCGCGTATGGTATGGTGTTTTGGAGGATTCCGGCAGCGATCAGACTGCTGACCACCTGACAGGTTTGCCCTTCTTCTGACTTGCGTTCACGAGGATGCCACTGCTGCCAGTACTATATAAGCATGTATTGTGCGTGATGGAACGAGGTTTTGCTTCCTTATACACACAATTACATAAATAGTCCTTGTGGTTGGAAAAGATACCGAAAAAGTTGGAAAAAGATTATGATAATTTATTTTGATGGAAAATGCCTTACAAAAGTAATTATGTTTTTGTATCGTTCTGGTTTAGATAATTTTTTTTATATTTAACAATTTAAGTTGTTAAATGTGTTTCACTTGCCATAACAGGTAAAAAAAAATTGTTTAAATATGAACAAAATAAATGATTAAATGTGTAATATGTGAATATATTTAACAGGTAACAGTGGTAATATGTGAATATATTTAACAAGATAAATGATTAAATGTGTAAAAAAAATTGTTTAAATATGAACAATTTTTTTTTATAAATTTCTTAAAAATTTTAAAATTTTTTACAACATTTTTATGATATTTTTTTCCAATAGGTTTTTTTAATACAATGTTTTAAATTTTTGTTTATAACTTTCATATATTTATCTCTATACTTTCTTTTACAACATTTTTAAAGTATTTCACAGATTTTGTATGATAATTTAATATTTTTTTATAACATTTTAAAATACTTTCGTTAAATAGTAGTTTAAAACATTGTATTAAAAAAAGTAAAAGTTTATAAACTTCTAACTAAAAATTATTAAAAAGTTGGAATAATTTTAAAACATTTATATTATATAGATTTTTTTTTGTTTTTTATTTACTAAGTAATATTTTCTTTTTATTTTTTAAAAAGACCATCCATACTTAGTGTTACATATTTAATTTATTTAATTTTATTGTTAGATACTATTTACTTAAAAAATATTGTATATGCTTAAAAACAAAAGAAAAAAAATTATAAGAGGCAATATAAAATATTTCACAAAACAAAAACATATTTATTAATTAAAAAGTAAAGTTTAAAATTGATCAATATTTAATTAATATTTAGGAAATTATGGATATTTTAAAAATAGCATTTGAAAAAGATAATACAAACAAATATGAAAAATAAAATCGTTATTAAAAGTGAGGAAATTACTTATCAGGGTAATTAACTTTTCGTTTTGTTCACATTTAGACAACTTTCTTTTTTCGTACACATTTAATCATTTAACTTATTAATTTGTTCACATATTACCATTGTCACCTACTATAGTCGGTGACAATGGAAATATGTGAACAAATATAACAAGTTAAATGGACAAATGTATACAAAAATAAAGAAGTTACCTAAATGTAAACAGAGCGATAAAGATGATTACCCTGGTAAGTTAGTTTCTCTTCTTTGGTTTTAATTTTATGTATCATACGGCCCATACGTTTTTGCGAGAATATAATTATATATTTATAATAACTTTTAACAACTAATGAATAAATATTTATATATGAAAAATCAATATTAGTAGCAACACAAAGCTATAGTTAACATTTATTTTTATTACGCATAATACTTTTAAATAATTGGTTATGTCGATGATTTTATAAACTATTTTAAGTTGTGTAAATTGTATATAAAATGTATGTTGTTTTTTATATATAACAAAGACAAAAAAATATTATAAAATATACAAAAACTTGAGACGATATATTTACCGTTTTAAATTGTGTAAATTGTATATTAAATGTATGTTTATATATATATATATATATATATATATATATATATATATGATGGGTTTTAGGCATAAGAACAATCCTATGTGCTCATACAAACCCTAATGCTTGGATCTAGGTTTCTCTATTGTACATGCAATGAATCCAAGACTTATAAACCCTAATCTAGCATACATAATTTCGAAATTAACATATAACATCAGATCTAGATGTTTACCTCTTCAATGGAAGCTTGAATCTTCTTTCTTGGAGCTTAGTGTCACAATTGTAACTCCTCTAATGGCTTACAAACACCACAAGCAAGAAGGCAATTATGAGAGAGGAGAGACAATGCTAAAATCGGCCCTAGGGTTTCTCTTGGGAACCAGTGGCCGAAAATTGCAAGCAAGGGTCTCTATTTATACTGTAG